TCCACCCAACCTTTTCTGCCATGTGTAAAAGGAGCTTTTCTGATGTGTCAGTTGAAAGAACAAACTAAACCAAAGGTGCCCAGAGACACTGGGAGTTGTGAAGTGCAAAAATCTTCACACTATAAATTGTTACATCCAATTAACCCTTCGTACCTTTCGCCGTGCCCTTAAGACCCTTTTGTTCCAACAGGCCGGGCTGGCTTAGAATATGAATTTTAAATTGGGTTGTTTGTCAAGTTTTAACTTTGTGGGCAAAATTTTATATATTCGTTTTAAATTGTTTTTAAATTTTCTGAGTTTATGTGTGTTTTAACATGGCTGTACAGCGCCCTGAGTCCTTCAGGAGAAGGGCGGTATAGAAGTTTAATAAACTAACCAACTAATTAAAAAAAACAATGAATGAACAAGGTAGCGGATACACCTAGTGTACCTGCCATTTTTGCAGTAGGTCTGAATGGCCCTGTTCAAGACTCCCACCCTCCCACCCACACCCACCACCCCCGACTGAGCAAGGGTTGAGGCTCTCAAGCAAGGAAGGCAGGCAGGCACCGCATGGCTGAATTCCTGAAGTAAACTTTGCTGACCAAGAGAAGCTCATAAAAGCAGGAAAGGTCCCTGCCTTGCCAGCACGGAAAAAAGCAGGGGGAAGCCGACACTACTCCCCCCAGGTGAGATTCCCCAACCATCCACCCACCCGCCCCTTTGTGCTCTGGCTTGCTGGACAGCACCCTATGCCCCAGTGCAGTCTGGCTGGCTGGCAGCCATGTGGCCGGTCTCTTGGACTAGCAGCCCGGCCTCCTCCTCCTCCTCCTCCTCCTGCAGACAATTGTGTTTCCTGGGGACACATCCATGAGAGACGCGTCTGGCTCCTTTGAAGTCCCCCTTCCCCCCGCTTTCTCTGCTGCTCCTGCAGGCTCCTGGCCAGGGACGCACAGCAGGGCTGGGTTAGCAGGTCCAGTTGCCAAGTCCTTGGACATGGGACTGGCCCGAGCGGCTTCCTGATCCTGCCCACGGTCCTCCGGGGCGGCGCAGATCATGGAGAAACGAAGCACCGGGAGCCAGAAGAGACGGCGCCGGCATCTGTGACCCGCATCCTCCCGGAAGCGGGCAGGAAGCCCAGCACTGGGCTCTTCCTGTCCTCGCAGCGCCAAGCTCCCTGTGGAGGGCTAAGGAAGTGGGGAAGCTGCAAGACTAGATGGGCGGAATGAGTCAGGCTTCTTCCCGCCGCCCATCCCCACCCCCGAGTAATGCGGATGGCAGCACGTAGATGCAGCTTCAAAACTGCTCTCCAAAATGGTCTCCCAAAAATGACCTCCTCCGTTGGGGCTGCTTGCAGGAGCCGCTGCTTTGCCCCAAGTACCGTACTGCTTGTGCATGGGGCTGTGGTAGCTTCCCTGGCCTGAGAGCTGGTGGTCAGTGCCTAGTTAGTAGCAAACACTGTGCGGGGCTTCTCCCATCCTCAGGCTCCTGTTTGTGCTTGGCTGTTCACACGAAGTGACCTATCCTGGACTGAGCCATCCCCCACACCCCACACCCCCGACAGCTCAGGATGGCTGGGTTGGCTCAGGCTGCTCCCGCACAGTCAATTGACGGCTGCCAGTCGGGCAACATTCCGACAGAATTACCCTTAGATTTTCTCATTAGCTTACTGAGTTCGTTATGGGGAGTCTCTATCCCGCTTCTGCTCTGACAGCTCCTTCCCCGACAGCCTCTGCCAGGGAGGTGAGGGGCAGCACCAGACGGAGCTGGGTCGGGCTCAGCTGCCTTTCTACGGGATGAAGTCCAGGGCTCACCCGTTCTCCTCGACTCCTGAGCAGGAGGAAGCAGCGTCTGCGCCTGGCCTCAAAGGCCGGGCCTCTTTCTCCTTCAGTCAGGCCACCTTAGCTCAGCCCTGCCTGGCTAGAGATCTTCTCCCCACACCCCCACATACCCTCAGCTCAGCGGCTCTGGGCAGGTGAGTATCAAGTGGCCCTTCCTGCCAGGTGATTGTGTGTGTGTGTGGGGGGTTTCAGCTGGCTTGGGAAGAAGGCAGGTCAACTCCTTGGAGGATCCGCGAAGGAAACGCAGGGATCCACCCTTCTGTCTTGCTTGTTCCCATGGTGTCTGAAGATGCCCACTTGTTGGCGCCAAAGACCAGAAGGCAAGGTCTCTTCTCAGATTCTGATGGCACCAAGTGTGCCAAGGGGTCATATTCCACACATGGTTTGAGGCTAATCTAGAGGTTCGGACCTGGTCCGGCCCCAACAGCTCTCTGGGACTTCTGAAAGTGCCAACTCCCGCGGGCAGGAAAAGCCTAGCATCAAAAAGAGCAATCCCCCCCCCGCCCCCAAGTAGCTGACGAGCCATTTGCCCTGCTTCCCTTTTCCCACTCCAAATAGTACCTCCTGCAACGACACCTCCATAGTGCAGGGATTTCCCCTTCTAGCTTCCCTTCAGGAGCACCGACACCGAATGTTCTTGAGAAGAGTCCAGCAGTTTTTCAGATCACTGGCACATTTGTAACTCTTCAGGGTTAAGTTAAATGTTCAGTTAGTTAAGTCAATTGCACAGGAGCACGCGTGTTCTGTGTGCGGGCGCGTGTGTGGCTTCAGGAATGTCAGTTCCAAAGGCAGCACTCCGCAGTCAGCAGCTGCTCCTCGAGGAAAGGGCGGAGCTGCAGACAGCAGCCCTACGGTGAAGCCCCCGGCACTTGGGGGGCTATGGGGCCGCCAGCTGCTGATCTTCTACCCCATTTCCTTTGCAGGAGGATCTCCTGAGCAGGGGACGACGGCGGTGCGGAACTCGGAGTGTTCGCGCTGCGCTGAGCCCCGAACGTGGGATCCGACTCCCACCTCCAGCTCCTTAATCTGGGCTGCAACTCCTCCTCCCCATCTACGCTGGCAACGGCGGCCGCAGCTCCGGCGGCTTTCCCGCAAGCGAGAGACCGAGAACCGGAGCAGGGAGGGCCGTGTCGGCGGCACCCTTTGGCCGCACCCAGGGAGGCAGCGATGGCGGAGGAGACAGACGGAGCTGGCACTGACCTAGAAATCTCTCCGCGTGGGAGTGAAGGGTGGAGACAAGGCCGGGGGGTTGTGAGAAAAGCCGAGCTAAGAGCAGGGCCCGGCTTCTCGGTTCGGACGAGTCCGGAAAGCTGAGGGTCTCCGTAAGCCGGGGGTTATTCTTGGGGAACAGGGAGCGTCGCGGAGGAAGGGCCGCGATACCCCCGACGCGTCAATTACCGCCTGGAGCTGAGACGAGGGTTAGCTAAAGCGAACTAGGCCAGCCCGACCTGCTTCCCGCGGGCCGGGGAGGGCGGGAAGGGGGGGGGGGGGGGGGGAGGTGAGCAAAAGTTCAACCCCCAGCATTGTCTCTGGAGACAGATTTGGGTTAGAGGGCCGCTGCCCGCCCCAAGAGGTGGGTTGTTCTGCAGAAGCCCTCGGGGAGAACAGCGGTGCCCAGCGCGCACCTGCCGACATGTACTCGGGTGGGCCCGGTCAGCCCTGGCAACTTTGCACTGGGAAGCACCAGCGTCCCACATCCCGGCCCCTTCCCGCCACAGGCTGCTCCGCTGGGGTGAGGGGTGCCGGCTCAGATTACCTTCCTGGAGCCTCTGGGTATTAGCAGCCCGGAGCATGACCGGCCCTCTTTGTGTCTGACAAAGGATCCTTGCCCAGCGTATCCCCTCCCATAGCACACATTTCAGAAAGGGGTGGGGGGAGAAAGGAAAAATGTCTAGGGTTCATGTTTTCCAATCCAAGAAAAACCAGATTACCCCTGAGTATGTATAAAATTCTTTCTGGCCTCTAGCAATAAAACTAAGATGGTCCCTCAAAAACAAGGCAGATTCCTCAGCTTGCGAGACGCATACCGCCACCTAGACCCCCAGACCCAGATTCCCATCATTTCACCAGCTCCTTAGCAAGGGGGGGGGCTTCGGGGGAGGGGGGAGCAGCAGCCCAGCCCAAGGGCTCTCCAGCGGAGTGAGAACTCGCAACAGCTGGCCTTGCCAGGAAACTAGATCCATGCAGAGCGGCTGCAAGGCCAAAGGGTGGGTAGTGGTGGCCGCAGCCGCCAGCAGACCAGCTCAAGGAAAGGGGGTGGCCAGTCAGCCAGCTGACAGCAGATGGCTGTCGGAAGAGGCTCGGAGTTCACCGCACTGCATCTCTAGAGGCAGAGGGTGGTGGATTCGAAGCGAAGATGTCCTTCAGAGGAAGGAAGCAGCCCTTTTCTGCCTATGGGGAGAAGCCCCTGGCAGCAGCTGAACACGGGGTGGGGGGGCCTTAGGGACCTCAACTGGTCCTTGTTATCAATGCAGGGAGGACTTCCAAAGAGTGAGCTGCTCCCCCAAAGTCTGGGAAGAGTCCCTGGAGAAGAGATGGGCATCATCGGAGCAGGGACCCCACTGTTCGTTGCCCCCCCCCCCTCAACCTCTGCTCTGAGAAGGACCCAGGACTCTACAAAGCTCAGGGCCCCTATTCCAGGGGCAGCCCCCAGGACCAGAGGGCACAGCAGCTGCTCAGCCCCATGGCTGCAGCGCAACCAGGCAAGCTATCACCACCAGACCAAACTCCAACCTGACAGCAGCCCAGCTTGGGGAATGCAGAAGTGCTGGGGGTCCCGGGCAGCTCAAACAATGGGTCCTGATTGGCTGTCTGGGGGAAGGCTTTCCAGCCTCAAGACTTCACTGAGAGAGAGGCAGACAAACTATGGGGGGGGGGGAGAGCCTTCCTCCTCACTCCTTCTCCTGGATGGGGGGGAGGCTTGGTGAGGATTAATTTTCCCAGCCTGACCCACAGCAACTGCCGCTTGGTAAACAGGCCTTAGCTGAGGCTCATTAAACCACTGCCTGGGGACAGGGGCGAGGGAGAGAATGGGGGGGATCCATCCTCCATGCCAGAGTTGAGTAGGAGTGGCCCTGCCCTCGGCTGGCCAATCTGGAGAATCGCAGCTTTAGCTTCAGCAGCTACCCCCCACCCTCCAAAAGAGATTCCTGTTCATTCAAGGAGCCAACTGCTGGATCCCAGAAGGCCACCATCAGTCTTTTTATTACAAAAATAAATGCCCGTGGAAGAGCAGAGATCCTTAAATTAAAGGGCGGTGGGGGGGGAGGGTACATCACGGTCCATCGCCCCCTACCTCCTCTTCTCCTTCACACTGTAGTTCAGATGCAGCGGGGCCGGCTGGAAGAGAAGAGAGTTGAGTGAGTGCTCTGCCTGGGGGCAGGGAAGAGGGCAGCCCACCCCAGAATGTGCCCCTACCTTGCCAAACCAGCGGGTGAGCCAAAGTTGTTTCAGGGTCAGGTGATCTGGAAGCACTTCGTTGTCAAACAGGATCTGTACCTGGGTGGGAGAGGTGCCCAGCATACCCATTAGGAGGGGCCAGAAAGCTCCCTCCCTGGGGCCTTGGCACATGGCCTGCAAACCCTCCTGGACCAGGTGGGACCCTCACTCACATATTGCAAGGCCAGTTCCAGTCGGCAACACAAAACCCGGCGAAGGTGGCGGATCTGGGCCCGCACGGAGCAGCGGACATACTTTTGCTGTGGGGGGCAGGGTGAGTGAAGAAGGTGATAATGAAGCCAGCAGGACGAGGAGACGCTCAGCCCTGCAGGGCATCCCCCCGCAGTTCCAATGCTCTTTGGTACAGAAAGGTGGGATGGGGGGCTGCCAGCACCACCCTTTCCCATATAGGGATGTGCCCACATGGGAAGAGGGGCGAGGGTGGCAAGAGGGGCTGGAACCACCCCAGAAAGCTCCAGGTCTCCTCACCTGCAGGATGTGTTTGCTCTTCTCTTTTCCAGAACTGCTGCAAGAGGAGAAGACAGGAGAGGCTGAATCTGGCCCACCTCAAAAGGGAGGGAAGTGAGGAAGCAGCTCAGGCACCCAGAGAATGGAAGCCCCCTGCCAGACCCCAGGAAATCTGCGAACCCCCAGGGCTTCCCCAAAAGGCTCGCCCTGCATTTGCAAGGAAGCAGTGATGGAAAACCCTGAGGACTCATCGCATAGGATGCCAGTCCCCTTCCCACTGCCTCCAAACCAGCCAGGCCCCCACTACTGAGGCTACTGGGCAGCAAAGTCAAGGACCTTCTCTGTCCGCTGCTCTTTCCCTGACAAAGGCCCTGGGGGCAGCCCAGGGGCACAAGTCCTGGCCCCTCCCCAGAGCCCGATTTTGCCTTCCCTTCCTCACCTCTGCTTCTCCAGGCACAGCGTGACGTGCTCGTCAAAGCGGTAATAATGAGCTCGTGAATGGTCAAAGGTGGTGTAGGGCAGGCCCACACGGTCCGAGGCAGGGTCTGGGATGGAAGGCAGGCCATTAGCCACGGGCTCTAGCCCACCAAAATCCCTCTGAAGCAGGCTGTGCGCAGGAGAAGGACAAGCCTTACCTTCGTGGCTGGCCTGGCTGCCCCGCTCCAGCCCTCGGGACTGGTAGAATTCCCGGATCCTCCTCTCCTCACCTGTGATATTTGGGGTGGGGGGAGAAAGGAGAGAGACAAGGGATGAGGGGCAACTTGCTGGCCTAACAGGGAACACTTTGTGTGTGTGTATGTGTGTGTCCCTTCAACAGAGATAAATGGTTAAATGGTTTTAATTTGGTTTTAATGGGGTTTTAAAATTGGTTTTAAATGAGAGCTTTAAATTCGGCCTATGATTTACTTATTTTAATCTGCTTTTAAATTCTATTTTGTACACTGTTTTATTATGGCTGTTCACTGCCCTTTGGGAGAAGGGTGGTATATAAATTAAATAAAATATAAATATAAATATAAAATATAGAGGCAGCTGAGCCGCTATGATCAACTGGCTATTTAAATCACCCTTTCACAAAAGTTTCCTGAATGACTTAACTAAACAATAAATATGGTTAAATAAGATTCTACAATAATCTTCAGGAAAAAAGCACAGAACTATTCTAAGGTGTTAAACCTTTAATAACATTTGGATCTAGACCTAAAGATGTCTAGTAGCAGAAACAGGTTGCCGTGGGGAACATGTGGGAAGCCTCTCTGTGTGGGCCATCCAGCAGACTCACGCCTCGGAGGAACCTTCCTTTACGGCAGTGTAGGAAGAATCACCAGGTCTCTCAGGAGCTGCATAACTTGGGGATGCGAGGTGGGGAGGGGTACAGCCAAGGTGGTTCCAAGGCAAGGGGGATGTTTTCAGCACCCCCTGGCCGGATGGACACAGGCAGAGGTTGGAAGCCTCCACTGCTGCTTGCATGTGACTGGGAAGAGCTTGCCCGGCACGAGGGGCTTCCCTGCTGCCCATAGGCCAGCGAGGTCCTTCCAAGAATCTCCTGCCACTGGCCATCACCAAGTGCCCAAGAAGCACTTGAGATCAGAAGGGCCCAGAGTCCCCACCCACACTTACTCTCCTGCAGGCCAGGCACCAGCTTGTAGACAATGTCCTGCATGACGCGGTCCAGCTTGAGGTTGAGCAGCGGCTGAGTCTCGTGGATCTTGGTGCTGCACAGCGGGCAATACTTGCTGGTCTGCAGGAACTTCACGATGCAGCTCTTGCAAACTGCGGGAGGGAAGAGCTGCCATGACCGGCCGCCACCAAGGCCTTGGGGGGGCAGGGACAGCATCCAAGTGCTGCATTCTGCCTCTAGCAAGCAGAGAGGACCATGCTGTTTTTTCCTCTTTCAAAGGCTGCTCTTTGTGCTGCAGAACGAGTGAATAGTTTGAGTGAATAAACCCCACAGCATTTGGATAGCTGCCTGGCCTCACCCTCCTCTTTGATAGAGTCTCTGGCTTAGCAGATGAGGGGAATGCCAAATGCCTGGAGCATCTGGACCTCAGCAAGGTCTCTCATGAGATCCTCCTTCAAGAAATAGCCAAATACAGACCAAATGAGGGCATGTTCCACGGACACCTGGCTGGCCACCCCCAGGAGCAGCTGTTCTGCTTTGATAGAATTAGCAAAGGGATCCATCAGAAAGGGGGCTCTTGTGCTACTCTAAATCTCGATCCACGATTGGAGGGGAGAAAGCAGAAGGCCTCCAAAAGGCAGAGCTGGGTTGAAATGAAGCAGAAGCGGACTATATCTGGATGATGAAGTGGCGACAGGACCCGGCTCATCATAATACACCAGGAATCTGGGTGGCCCCGTCCAGCATAGCAGCAGTGACAGGGTGGTACAGCTGTCAGGGCAAGAAGCGGCTGCTCCCTCCACGCTGCCTTGTTGGGCCCAGGGCAGAGTTCTGTGGGCAGCACAGAGCAGCAGAACTCGAGCAGCAAGCTGGGGGAGGTTGAGGGGAGGGTGACCACGATGGCAAAGGGGAGTTCCCCACTCTTTCCTCTGGGTATGTTCAGCGGACAGGTGCCGGAGTGGGGAGGCGTCAGGAGAGCAGCTGTCAAATATCTGACAATCCCTGAATAGGCCAGTGGATGAAAACTGCGAGCAAGGAGGTTCAGGCGCTTCTGGGAGAACTTCCTGAGCCTGAAGGGCAAATTTTCCTGGGCTGGGGGGCGCCTGGCGGTGGCCGGTGGCAGATGCTCGGGGGGCGCCTGCCCCAAACGCACCGCGAAGACCCAGGCGAGATCAGCACCGGATGCCCAGCTTTCTCCGGGGAGGCAGAATCACCGGGCCGCCACCTCCCCGCCCCCCCCGGCCCCACTCACAGGTGTGCAGGCACTCGGTGATGGTGGTGGCGTCGATGAAGTAGCCGGCGCAGAGGAAGCAGACGATGTGCTCGTTCAGCTCCTTCATCTTCACCTTCACCTCCTCCTGCGGGCGGACGGGGAGCCGGGCCGGGTCAGAGCCGCTGCCCGAAGGACGGGCGGCCAGACCTGCCCCCACCTCCCGCATCTCCCGACCAGCCCGCCCCGCCTTCGGCACCGGAGCCCCGAGGTTCGCCTTTCCCACGCGCGCAGGACCGCCGGCCTCCCGCCTCACCTCGTTCCGCAGCGGGTCCATCTTGTAGACGGCCTGCAGCTGGTTCCGGAGCCGCATCGCGATCGCCATCGGGCCCCCCGGAGGAGGAGACGCCATCTTGGAGCCGCCAGCCCACTTCCGGGTGGAGGAGGGCGGAGCCTGTGGCCGGCCGAGAGACTACAGTTCCCGCCGTGCCGCGCGGCCCAACCCGGACCACGTGCGCGCGGCGGTGGCGGTCCGCCCGCCTGTGAGGCTGCGGGGGGGGGGGGGGGGGGCGGGGAGGGGGAGGTTCCTCGGCCCCTTTGGCGGCTTCCCGGTCCTGGTGAAAGGCGCGTCTTCCTGGAGCCGCTCGAGGCGTGGGAGAAATGAGGCTGCCGTACCCCCCCCCCCCCCCACCCCGGTGCCGGAATTTCCCCGGAGGCCGGGCTCCGTTCTTGGGCCCCCTTCGCTCGGGCTCCTTCTGGATAAGCAAAGCGGCGGCGTTTCGCTCGGGCCCCAGAGCCGCCTGCCGTGGGCGAGAGGGACGGGCCTCGCGGGCAGAGGTGAATACGTGAACCGCTGGAGAAGGCAGCCCGGCCACTGGAAAGCGCCTCTCGGGGGAAGGGACGCCTTCGTGGAGCTGCAGGGGGACTCGGGCGCCGCTGCCCAGCCCCGCTCAGCCCCAGCGAGCCTTGGGCAGGGAGACGATTTGGGGGACTTGCCGAGCGCGGAAGGCCGCCCCGAGCCGCGCGCTCTCAGCTGGACGTCACCCGAGGGGGCGGGAGGCAAAGCTGGCTGCGGCCCGGCAGCGCCCCCCCCCCCGCCCGGGCTGGGTTCGGTGGCTGTCAGCGGCTGACGTGGGGTTGACGTTGGCTCTTCCTCTTCCTTGGGGCCCCTCCCCAGTCAGGGGCATCTGAACGGGCCTGCTGGGCGTTGCTCTCAAGCTCAGTGCCCTTCATTAGCGAAGTCTCCCGGCCGTGCCTGCCCGGCAGTTCCGCCCAACCTGAGAGGAGGCAACGGTCCCCGCGGGCCCCTCGGCCTGGCCCAGCCAGAGGGTTGCGGCAGAGACGGCGCGGGACACGCAATGACTGCCCGCGTTCTGCCAGAGGGCGGCGAGCGGGTCCGAGGAGGAGGGAGGCAAAGCCGCTCCTTGTCTGACTGCGTGGATGTGGCGCCATCAGGTGGCCGAGCAGAGCTATTGCAAGGGCTCGTCGCTTAGATCTCTCCTCGCCTGAGGGAGGGAGGGAGGGAGGGGTTGCCTGCTAGCCAGAGGAAACGCCTCACGCTGCTGCCCAGCCCAATGGAAACAATCGGACTCTATGGACTAGGAAACAGAAAAGAAGCAGGGGGACGATTTATCAGCTTCTGCCAATTAGTCCTTCATTATTAACGGTTTTCAAACAACCAAAATGATGCCTATAATTCCTATAATTGTGGATATCACCTAGGAAGTTTAAAAAAGGCAAATACATAATCGGGGGCTGACTGTAGAAGGAATCACGCTTTGCTTCTGTGGAAGTTCCAAGTTAAGCTAAAGAAGAAAAAAGCAAGCCGGTGTCTGTGACAAGATCTCAACTTTTACCCACAATTTTCAAGAACATCAAGAATTCCTTTGAAGTCCTGAACCTCAATGAATTCAATTCAATTCCTTTGAAGTCCTGAATCTCAATGAATTGAATTGAACTGAAGTCTTTGTAGACTTCAGCTCAGCATTCAATACCATCATTCCAAATATTCTTCTAACTAAACTAAATCAGCTAGCTGTACCTGACCACACTTGTAAATGGATCATCAACTTCCTAACAGACAGGAAGCAACAGGTGAAGCTAGGCAAAATCACAACAGATATCTGCACAATTAGTACAGGAGCCCACCAGGGCTGTGTGCTCTCTCCACTTCCACTGTCTCCACTGGTTGCACGACAGCTCCCCCAGCACCTGGATGAATCGGCTTATCTAGATCCGTTCCAGTCGGGCTTCAGGCCTGGGTACAGCACGGAAATGGCATTGGTCGCATTGGTTGATGATCTCTGGAGGGCTCGGGACAGAGATTGCTCCTCTGTCCTGGTCCTATTAGATCTCTCAGCGGCTTTAGATACCATTGACCATGGTATCATGCTGCACCGGTTGGAAGGGGTGGGGGTGGGGGGCACCGTGTTGCGGTGGTTCTCCTCCTTTCTCTCCGACCGGTTGCAGTCTGTGTTGGCAGGGGGGCAGAGGTTGACCCCGAGGCGCCTCATATGTGGGGTGCCACAAGGGTCGGTCCTCTCGCCCCTTCTGTTCAACATTTATGTAAAGCCACTGGGCGAGATCATCCGTGGTTTCGGGGTGAAGTACCATCAGTACGCTGACGACACTCAGCTGTACATCTCCACCCCAGACCACCCCAACGATGCCCTTGAAGTGATGTCATGGTGCCTGGAAGCCATGCGGATCTGGATGGGGAGAAACAGGCTCAGGCTCAACCCATCCAAAACCGAGTGGCTGTGGTTTCCGACGTCCCGATATAGTCAGTTAGTGCCATCTCTGACTATTGGGGGTGAATCGCTGGCCCCCACGGAGAGGCCTCGCAACTTGGGCATCCTCCTGGATTCATGGCTGTCTTTAGAAGAGCATTTGACGGCCGTGACCGGGAGGATTTTTCATCAGGTTCTCCTGATTCGCCAGTTGCGTCCCTTTCTGGATCGGGACTCCTTACGCACAGTCACTCATGCCCTCGTCACTTCCCGCCTGGACTACTGCAACACTCTCTATATGGGGCTCCCCTTTCAGAAGCACCCGGAGGCTCCAACTGGCGCAGAGTGCGGCTGCGCGAGTGGTTATGGGAGCGACATGGCGTTCCCATGTAGCACCTGTCCTGCACGAGGTACACTGGCTCCCGGTGGTCTTCCGTGTGCGCTTCAAGGTTTTGGTTACCACCTTTAGAGCGCTCCGTGGCTTAGGACCTGGTTATCTACGGGCCCGCCTGCTGCCACCAGTAGCCTCCCACCAGCTCTCATAGAGAGGGGCTCCTCCGGGTGCCGTCAGCCAAACAATGTCGACTGGTGGCCCCCAGGGGGACAGCCTTCTCTGTGGGGGCACCTACTATCTGGAATGAGCTCCTCCCGGAGATACGGAGGATCCTGGATCTACGCACCTTCCACCGCGCTCTCAAGACCTTTTTATTCCATCAGGCGGGCCTGGCCTAATTTTTTTCCCCTTTTTTCCCTTTTTAAAATGCAAATTTTAATTTGTTTTTAATTAGTGGGGTGTTTTAAATCTGTCTTCAGCCAAATTGTTTAATTCGGTTTTATTTTGCTTTTAAATTTTGTATTTATGTGTTTTATCTTGTGGCTGTTCACCGCCCTGAGTCCTTCGGGAGTAGGGCGGTATATAAATCAAATAAAACTAAACTAAACTAAACTAAACTAAACTAAACTAAACTAAACTAAAACTAAACTAAACTACTAAACTAAACTAAACTAAACTAAACTAAACTAAACTAAACTAAACTTCTCTTCTCTCTCTATACCAATGACTGTATTTCAAAAGATCCCAATGTTAAAATACTGAAGTTTGCAGATCACCAACAGTGATTGGTGATTGGTCTCATTCAAGACAACGATGAATCTGCATACAGACGGGAGGTTGAACAACTAGCCTTGCGGTGCAACCAGAACAATCTTGAACTAAACACATTCAAAACCATAGAAATGGTGGTGGATTTTAGAAGAAAATCTATACTATCACCTCTTACAATACTAGACAGTATCAACAGTAGAGTCCTTCAAGTTTCTATGTTCTATCATATCTCAAGACTTAAAATGGACACCTAACATCAAAAACATAATCAAAAAAGCTCAACAAAGAATGTTCTTTCTGCACAAACTCAGAAAGCTCAAACTGCCCAAAGAGCTGCTGATTCAGTTCTACAGAGGAATTATTGAGTCTGTCATCTGCACCTCCATAACTGTCTGGTTTGGCTCTGCAACCCAACAAGACAGACACAGACTTCAACGGATAATTAGAACTGCAGAAAAAACAATTGCTACCAACCTGCCTTCCATTGAGGACCCGTATACTGCACGAGTCAAAAAGAGGGACATAAATTGTTTCAACTTCTACCCTCAAAAAGATGCTATACGGCACTGCACACCAAAACAATAGACACAAGGACAGTTTTTTCCTGAATGCCATCACTCTGCTTAACAATTAATTCCCACAACACTGTCAAATAATTTACTAAGACTGTATTACTATTATTATTCTCTTCCTCACTAATATCTATCTCTTCCCACATTACTATAAACATCTTGCTTGTATCTTTCAATTATATTAGTTTTATTTGTTTCCTAGTATGATTTGATGCTTATTAGTAACCTTGACTATCACTAAGTGTTGTATCTTTTTATTCTTGATGAATGTATTTTTATTTCCTTATGTACACTGACAGCATATACACCTAAGACAAATTCCTTGTGTGTCCAATCACACTTGTCCAATAAAGAATTCTATTCTGTTCTATTCCATAAGGAGACAGAGGAACTGAGCTCCTGATTGAGTGACCTCTCCCTCCTTTGGTTGGTGGTGACAATCTCCTGCCTTGGGGGCTACTGCCTCATGGCCTCCATGGCAATCACAGGCTCATCTAGAGACATCCCACCTTAGACCTTGTATTAAGTCGAGACTGGGCAACCACTTGTCTGGAATGGTAGATGGTCTTCTGCTTGAGCAAGGGTTGGACTAGAAGACCTCTATGGGCCCTTCCAGCTCTGTTATTCTGTTAAGTGATCTGCAAATAGGTGGACTTTTTATTACCTGGTTGCTCTGGTCTGATCGGGCCCTGATCCAGCTGCAATTAAGAACCACCTGTGCCCTCCTTGGGATGGTGGATCTGCCCGTAGGCAGCTGGGATCTTTCCAGGAAGCATTTCAGTTCAGTGACTGATGGAGGTAAGTTGGGGTGGACCTCTATCGCCCCCAAGTGGCCTTTTTCTAGATTCAGTTCCTAGTTGTTCCCTTGATTAAGGAGACCATCCAGAAATGAAGATCCAGAAATGATGCCGTCACTGATGGTGGAGAAAGATTAAAAAATGAACTTCAATCAATTAACTTTTCATTTTTCTGCAGCATCAATGCAGGCATCATTTCTGGAGCTTCATTTTGGCCAACACTGGTGATGGCCATCTGTCATTCAGAGCTCATCCCTAACTCATCTCCCA